CTGGGAATTCAGATCATACACATAAACTTATAGGACCGTTGTCTGCCAACCCTATACATGTTCTTGGGTACACTCCCCGCTTCATAGACATACCTACTAGTTCAGCCTGTCCACCCATCTCTCCACCCATCTCTCCACCTGTATACCCATGTTTGCTTTCACTGACAACACAGTACTACTGTATGTGCAAAATGGTTCATCTTTGTTGTCTGTACCTCCCATGTACCTCTCTATGTCTTTCTCTTCCTCAATGCACCATATTGATCACTCACATTTGGTACATTGAGGGGCTGGCTTTTTCAAGCATAGCATGTGTACAGAAAAATGCACAAATCCACAGACAGCTTGGTGTGATGTTCCAGGGCCCAGATCACAAACTTGACCAGAGGCTGGGTGGCCACCTCCAATGACTGCCCACCCCCCAGGGTAACCCCTGCCTGGCTGGCTCCTACCTGGTGGTGGGTTTGCCTGCTCTTGTGCCGGTACAGTGGTGGTGGTGTAGACTGTGGGCTGCAGGTGCCTGGCTGCTTCCTTGTCTGGTATTTGTCATATTCCGACCTGTGGTGCAGGTGGCTATGAGCTATCTGTCCTCATTGCTGCCTAATGTTCCATTGTGCAGATGGACCAGCTGTGTACATTCTCGGGGGGGGGGTTCGGTGGCCCCCAGGTTGGGGCCTTTCTGAGAGGTAGTGAGTGCACTGCAGACCCTGCCTCCTGACGCCCACCTGGACCCCCCGTCAGCATGCCTGTGCTGACCTGCTCTCTTTCGTGCTGTGTGGTAGCATGTCTGCTTGCTCTCAGGCACGGAGGCAGTGAGTACTTGGTGAACATTTACTTTGTGCAGAGCATCAAGCTAACGTGCTCCTGGAGGTGAGTCCAGGGAGGGATGAGTGCTGGGAGGAAAGAAAACAAATAGGGCAACGCAACGGGCCACTAATGACTGGTCGGTGTGTGAGATGCAGGGAACAGCCAACAGGGCACCGTGACAGGGCAAGAGGACAGTGGTCGTCGTGTGAGGCATAGGGCGCAGGGTGACAGGGCGGGGCAGGAGGACAGTGGTCGTCGTGTGAGGCACAGGGCGCCTCAGCTCAGATCCAGGGGCACAGCGATGTTTAGAAGCCACACGGCCGTAGGAAATGGGAGTCACCCTGCCTCTCTGTGGGACATACTTTCTCACTCGGGGCCACAGTGGTCTGGCCCTTCCTCCACGGGCTCCCCTGGGGCACAGGCCTCAGGTTCTCCCCTCTCTTCGTGGGGGGCAAGGGCAGGGCTCTGGTTTCCCTGTGCCTTCTGTTAATCATTTGATAGTCAGCAAACCTGATCCTCAGCTGTTAAAATGAGTCTGGTTATGGCCCAGCAGTTAAGCGCTCAGCTGGTCACCAGAAAGTTACTGGTTCAGATCCACTCAGCAGCTCTTCAGGAGAGAGACCTGGAAGTCTACTCCCATAAGATTACAGCTCAGGAGGCCCTGGGGGCAGCCCTGCTCTGTCACATGCTGTCACGTGGGAATCGGCCTGGTGACACCTAACCATAGCAACAGAGCACCTGCCTGGCAGCGGGGGGGGGGTGTTCCATCATCAATTATGAATTAATAGATTTAGTTAATAATAAGGTTTAAATTAAATTAAAATTGCTAAGTTATCAGATGACCAGCCCAGACCATGTGCCTGCCACGAGCTGACCGATGTCACTGTGACTGTCATGGACATGTCGGTATTCTCTCTTGCTCATCAGGACAGCTCTGGGCACTGGAATGTTTAGCCCCTGCACACACGGGGACACCGAGGTGCAGAGAGGAGAACGGCCCAACCCTGGGCCACACAGCTGGAAAACGAGGCATGGGACTGGGCTCTGGGTCTGCCAATGCCAGCAGGGCCCTGGCCCAGGCCTCTGGTCGGGGAGGAGCAGGGCCCTCACCTGTGCTCTGTCCCCGCAGCCGGCTGAGGCCGAGCCGGAGGTGGACGTAGAGGTGTACCGGCGGGACTCCAAGAAGCTGCCGGGCCTCGGAGACCCTGACATAGACTGGGAGGAGAGCGTCTGCCTAAACCTCATCCTGCAGAAGGTACTGCGGCCAGGGTGGCGGACGGGGGGTGGAGAGGTCTGCAGCCCCCCTCCACCTCACTGCCCTGCCCCTCTTCCAGCTGGACTACATGGTCACCTGTGCTGTGTGCACACGCTCTGACGGGGGTGACATTCACATCCACAGGAAGAAATCCCAGGTGAGCCGCTGAGCCCAGCTCTCCGCTGCTCGCTCCCCAGGAAAGGCCCCTGGCTGCCCCCTGTGCATTTAGGGAACATGCCCTCCTTCCCATCCTTCCCAGCTTCCGAAATCCATTCAGTGTTCCTGGCCATCCCACCAGCTCCCCGGTGTGGTTCTCCCTGGTCGTAGATGGCTTTGGGCAGTGTGACATGGTGACCGTGCCTGGCAGGACGTGTCCATTTAGCTGCGTGATGGGGACCTGTGTAGAGGGTGGCCTCCCTCAGTCCTTAACCTCTCCTGTCTCTCAGCAAGTGTTTGCATCACCCAGCAAGCACCCCATGGACAGCAAGGGGGAGGAGTCCAAGATCAGCTACCCCAACATCTTCTTCATGATTGACAGCTTCGAGGAGGTGAGCTGCTCTCGTGAGCTGGGTCTCCTGTCAGCTCCCGTGGTTGGGAGACCCGTGGAGGAGCTTCTGTCCCTCAGGCCTCTCAGCCTTCAAAGGGCATCAGGGCGGCGGGGCTGGGGGAGGATCTGGCGTCACACACGCGCGGCTCTCACTGTTGCATGTCGCGTGTGGCCAGGGCTGCTCTCCTGGCTCTGAGCCCGTTTCTCCGTCTGTAGAATGAGTGCAGCGCTCGTCTGCCTGACCTGGCCAGCGGGTTGAAGATCAGACAGAGTAATGAACAGGGACGCGTTGTAAACCCTTTAACAAGTGCTGTGCAGGCAGGCAGGTCGTTACTCCTGTTTATCAAGCTGTGGACGCACACCTGTGCCAGCTTGGAACCATAGCACGCCGGAGCGGGAGGACTTCAGAAGTTGTTTGAGTCAGGGTTGGGAAAACCGGGACCCAGGGCAGGAAGTGACTTGCCTGGGACACGGGGTGGGAGGCATTGGTAGGGGGCCTGGACAGCACCCCGTCTGTCCAGCGGTCATCGTCCAGGCCCTGATAGACTCCGCTCAGCCCTGTGGAAGCGGTTAGGGCCCCTGGGCCTAGAAAGGCTCAGCAGAGAGGGCGTGTGTGTTTGCAGGGTCTCTTCTGACCTGATGGGGTCTTGATTGGTGGGAGGTGTCTTGAGGCATCTCAGGGTCAGGGTTGTAAGCACCTTCGCCAGGCCTCTAGAGCTTTGCTGGCAGAGCTGAGACTTGAGGCTGAATCTGTACCCCAACCCCTGGGAGCGGGGACCTGGGAAAGCACAGGGCAGGCTGGTACCGGCTGTCACGTGGGTCCAAATGTCTCCTGGGCAGCTGCACCCTGTCAGTGCTGCGAGCCAGTGGGCAGACCCCGGGGTTGGGGTTGAGGCTGCAGTCAGTGTCAGGGAAAGCCCAGACAACGGACCAGGTGTGGATGAGCTAGCTAGCGCAGAGCACAAGGGTGGGCCGGGACGTTTCTGCAGAAGGGCCACAGGATGTGTGGTACCCAAACTCCGTGTTCTGAGCCAGCCTCCCCCGGGCCAGCCCCACCCCCAGCTCCCTCAGTCTCCATGGAGTGAGGGGGCAGCTGGGTGACCTCGGACAAGCTCTCCATGTCTCTGGCTCAATGTTCCCACCTGCAAAATGGGGTTTATCCCAGTAGGCCTCCCGCCAGCCCCAGGAGACAGAGAGATGTGGTAGGCTGGGTGGGGTGGGCTGTGGTTGGGGGGCTGACTGCTTTCTGTGCCCCACTGCAGGTGTTCAGCGATATGACGGTAGGAGAAGGAGAAATGGTCTGTGTGGAGCTGGTGGCTAGTGACAAAACCAACACGTTCCAAGGGGTCATCTTTCAGGGCTCCATCCGCTACGAGGCGCTCAAGAAGGTGTATGACAACCGAGTGAGTGCGGGGCTAGGCCCTTGGCTGCCATGGAGTCAGGCAGGGTGCCTTCCATGATGTTGATTGTTCCTGTCACTGTGAAACTCCAACCGTGGTTCACACTCTGACACCCCAGCTCAGCGCCTGCTGACCAGGCTCAGCGCCTGCAGCCCCCCAACCTAAGATCTGACACCCCAGCTCGGCGCCCTCTGGCCCCTCTGAGGTGATCTGTGGCCTGCTCTGTGTTGCATCTCTCATAAGATGCTGCAGCTTGCTCCCGCCACCCCCTCCCCTAGGAGCTGGGGGGCCCATCCTTAGTTTGTGGCTCCCTGGAAAGTGACAGCTGGTGGTGCGTGACTCCTCCACCCCCGAGTCACCCACTTTCTGGTGACAGGCTCTGGGTTTGGATAGCACTCATGAAATTGGTCCTTGACAGCTCAGCTCGGGGTTAGAGAGGGACCCCGGCAGTCATGGAACCAGGCGGGTTGTGGCTCCCTTTCTCTCCTGCTCCTGGGCTTGGCTGCAGCTCCGGTGCCCGGGGGGTGAGCAAGGCGTCACTAGGCATCAGAGGTCATCCCAGCTGCCCCTTCTGCTGGCCCAGGCCCTCCGTCTTAGGGCTCAGTCTGGGGGGCGGGGAGCGAGGGTCCTACCGCCTTGCCGGCTGTGCCGACCTCCACTGCCCGCCCCCCACAGGTGAGCGTGGCTGCTCGGATGGCCCAGAAGATGTCTTTTGGCTTCTACAAGTACAGCAACATGGAGTTTGTGCGAATGAAGGGGCCCCAGGGCAAGGGCCACGCGGAGATGGCGGTCAGCCGCGTGTCCACCGGGGACACGTCCCCCTGCGGCACCGAGGAGGACTCCAGCCCAGCCTCCCCCATGCATGAGCGGGTAAGGGCTGCGTGGCTGCGAGGGTTGGGCCCTCGGGTTCTGTGCCCACCACCTCACTGGTCCCCGGAGTCCCGGGACAGGTAGGGGTCCTCATTGCCATCTACCGTGAGGAGGCCAGGGTTCAGAGAGGTGTGAGGCTTGCCCAGGTCACCCGGAAGGTTCTGTCGGGGCTGAGCTCTGTGCATCCCTGAGCTGCCGTCACAGCTGGGCCAGGTCCCCAGAAGGGAGTGGACAGAGACCAGCTGGGTCCAGTGCCTGCCCTCCCTCAAGGCACATTGGGGTGATGGTGAGAGGACATGGGGCTCTGGCCCTTCCGCTGGTTGCCTCTGTGAACTGCTGTGAGGCTAACCTAGCCACTGGGCAGGTAGGTGTGAGAACCCCTGCCTTAGAGACCAGGCGGCCAAGCCAGCACTGCAGGGACAAACAGCTCTCACGATCCGGGGCCTGCTCCTCCCGGCCACCATCCTCCCTCCGGGTGGGAAGCCAGGGTCAGGGTAGCTTTCTCTCTGTAGCACCCAGGGTGCAGGCCTGAGGACGTCTCCAGCCCCTTGGCTGAGTTGCCCCTCCTGGGTCACCCAGAGATCTGGGAGGGGGGTGAGGAGCTATGCACGTAGGCAGGGGCCCGGAGCTGTGGGAGGGACAGGGAGCCAGTGCCGAGGGCAGGGGCCTGGAGGCCCCCCCCCAGCCCTTCCCCAGAGCGGGCTCTGCTGCTCACAGCACCTGGGACAGGCCCCTCTTCCTCTGGAGCCCCAGTGTCACGTGGGAGGGAGCCGACGCCCCCACTTCTGCGTCTGCCCCACTCCCCGTGCAGCTGCTGCCGTAGCCACCGTGTGCTGTTGACCTGCTCGGGAAGGCGACTCCCGGCAGCGTCCATGGGGTGTCCGGGGCTGGGGGCGGGGAGCAGGCCTGGCCTCTCGCTCTGTAGGGGGCTCAGCCAGGTCTCCAGGTGGGCACGCGGTGGCACCCATTTTTCCCTCAGCTCTTGGTGTTTTCTTCATTGAGTGTGTTTTACAAGCTCTGGTTTAGAAGATAAGTGAGAATCCAGGCGGGGCCTCTCGTCTTTGGGGCCCAGGTTGCTTATATGTTGGGGTTCGTTTCTGAGTGGGCAGCCCTAAGTAGCTGCTGCTGGGCCTGTGAAACAGATGGTTGAGTCATTCTGACAGAACGGGTGTGCGTGCACATGAGAGCGTGTGTGTGCGTGTGCATGTGTACACGAGAGTGTGTGTGCGTGAGCATATGTGTGCAGTGTGCACATGTGCATGTGTGTGTGTGTGTGTGCGCACCCTGACAAAGATGTAGCCTGGCCTCTGGGGCCGGGACACCTCGGTTCCGACTCCAGCTGCTGCCACGTGTTTGCTGAGCCCTTGGTTTTCCCATCTGTTGAGTGGGAGTGATGGGTCCTGCCGCCCAGGGTGCCTCGGGAGGGGAGTGTGTGGGGAAGCTCCTGGCCCTGGTGGCGGGGAGCCCTGGGAGCAAGGTGGGCAGCAGGCAGCGGGGAGCCTGAGCGACAGGACTGCGGGGACCCGCCCTCTGTGCTCACTGCTGTGTGTCCTCCTTTTCCACAGTGACTCTGTGTACGGGGGTGTTCGGTGTCTGTTTTCTTACCCTTTAAAATCTTCCCCCGGCCAGTGTGGGGACCACCTGGAGTCCAGTGGCCGCCGTGACGAGGAGGCGGGCTGGCCTCCCCGAAGTCTCAGCGCATCTTGTTCTACAGATCCTTGTTTGCATGGGGAGGAGGGAGGAGAGGGGCCAAGTTCCCTCTGCCTGGAACGCCCTTCCCCCCCTTCTTCACCTGGCGAACTCCTACTCGTCCTTCAAGACCCACCTTGGGCAGCGTCTCCTCCAGAAAGCCTCCTTTGATCTCCTGGCTGTCGGTCCCTTTCACCTCTGTGCTCTCTCTGCACCTCCTGGCCCCTCCCTTTTCTCTGTCTCACCAGTCGCCTCGCTGTGTGTGGCTGTCACTCTGTGAGTCTGTGAGCCCCTTGAGGGCAGGGTCTCCTGTCATGTGCTGTTGTAGCACAGCACTGCCTGGCCCCGAGTGGGTGTGCAGGGGGTTTGGTGAACCACACAGTGTGATCAGAAGCGGGTTGCTGGGGAGGAGCTGGCGGCCTAGAATTACCTAGTAGTTCGCGTGAGAGGATGCTGTAGTCGGGGGACGGGGACACGTCAGCCAAGAGAGGCAGCGCGGGGAAGAACCACAGACCTCGGCTGCGAGCCTGCTCCATCCGCCTTGCTAGCTGACCCCAGCCCTGGTTTCCTGGTGTGTCCAGTAGGCCAGCATGAGCGCGGGTCTCGGGGGGCAGCTGGAGGTGGTCTGTGTCAGCGGCTGGTGTCCCTCACCACTGTCAGGTCTGGAAGACGAGCCTCAGCCGCCTGTGGCAGCAGGACGCCCTGCCGGCCTTGGAGCTGGCGCCACCCCCTAGAGCCCCCGTGGCCACCCAGACCCATCTGCTCACTTTGCCCGTGGCCAGCTGGGAAGGGCGAGGCCAGGGACCGCAGCCCGGGTCACCTGTCCACCGCGAGCTCCCTCCTGGCTGGGCCCTCGCAGCCCATGGGCAGCCCTGGCGGCTGTGGTGACGTGGCTTTTTGTCCTCAGGTGACCTCCTTCAGCACGCCGCCCACCCCGGAGCGGAACAGCCGGCCCACCTTCTTCTCCCCGTCCCTCAAGAGGAAGGCCCCGCGGGCCCTGATGGCCGAGATGAAGAAGTCCCACTCGGCCAACGACAGCGAGGAGTTTTTCCGAGGGGAGGACGGCAGCGGAGGTGCCTGCCCCTCTGCCAAGCGCCCCACCCTGTCTCCTCAGGTCTAGAGTAGTGGCTTGTTGTTGGTTCGTTCGTTCAGTCAGCAACAGGTCGCGCGTGAGTACCCCCGGGCGCTGGTGAGAGCAGGGAGACAGCACAGCTCCTGCCCGGGGAGCTTCCTCTCAGCGGGTCTCTGCCTTCCGCCAGGAAAGCGGGTGGGAGCCCATTCCCAAGCCGTTGCCCGCAGTTTCAGGAGTTTGCTGATGTCCTGAAGGTTTCGGCTTTCTCAGAATGAGCTGGCTGTCAATGGGCTGTTACACACAGTGGGCATGAGAGGCGCCCCGATGGGGTGAGCTGAAGGCCTCGGCTTTCTCAGGAGGAGCTGGCTGTCAGTGGGCACGAGAGGCGCCCCGAGGAGGGTGAGCTGTGCCTCGTACACTGGTGACCTGACACTCGAGCTTCTCTCCTCAGCGGCCGGAGCTCCTCTCTGGCCTTCTCTGCTCTCGGGCCTTCCTTCTTGTCTCCCTGCCTGGGTGTGGTCTCCTCGGGTGCTTGTCTGCTCTGGCAGCCCTGGCCGCGCGCCTTCTGCCTCTGGCCTCCCCACAGGAGGACACCCCGCCTGGTCCTTGGGTGTCCTCAGCATGAGCCCTGGAGGTCTCAGAGGTTCTCCTGCCTAATGGGCCCCCAGTCTGCACACACTTGCATGTGCATACACACATACAAGTGTGCTCACACGTACACATGCGCACATGTTCACACGCACACCCCCGTGCACCCAGATGCGCACAGGTGCACACCCGTGCTCACACACACACACACTGCGTGTCCCAGCAGGTCTGTGCCTCCCACTACGCTCGCTCTCGATGAGCAGCACCCATCACTGAGGGGTGCAGCGAGAACGCGGCTGTTGCACGTGGTCCTAAGGGCGGCAGGCAGCCAGCGCGGCGGTTTAGGCCCAGGAGTGACAGGGTCAGATCACAGGGTTCAGGATAGCACTTGGGCTCCCTGGGGACGACAGACGTTGGGGGGGTGAGTGGATGTGTGGAGATGAGTTGGGCGGCCCCACAAGCTCTGTGGATGTCACTGCCACATGGCCACAGGGCCATACTTGGGGCCTCCGTGGTAGGAGCGCTGTCCGTGTTTGCTGAGTGGATGAAGGAATGAACCGCCTGGTGAATCTACGAAGTTCCACCATGAGGCAGGCCCGACGGGAGCTGGGGCGGGAGGTTGGGTGGGGAGGACAGTAGTCCCTGTCCCGCCTGCTAGGCTGAGTGCAGAGGGCTCTGAGTGCGGGATGGCCCCAGGCCAGGTCAAGAGCTCCTTGCTGCTGCGCTGGCCTTCAGTGCTGCGTGTGGCCTTGGGACCACCCCTTCCTCCTTGGGGCTTGTTTCCACGTCAGTAAGGAGAGCGCAGATGCCAGCCCCTGACTCCCTCCCAGGAGTGAGCTCCGTGGACCACGAAGTGCTGCAGAGTGGCCGTGCCTGGTCCCCGTGACCAGGGAGGCCACAGGGCAGCACAGCAGGCTGTGGTCCCGTGCCGGACCCCCAAGGACTGAGCACCCCGAGGCTGACTACTGCGGGGGAGACGGGGGGCGCTGGACCCTGGGGTGTGGGGGTGAGGTTTGGAGGGGCAGGGATGGAGGAAGGGTGTCCAGGTGACGGAAGCCTCTGCTGTGGCCCACGTGTGCGCCCGCACTGCGGTGGGGCCCTTGGGAAGGAGCAACCAGGCTACACAGTGGGTGGGGCTGGGCCGGGGGAGTCAGCCCAGAGGTGGTGACCCAGCTGCCGCTCCCAGGACCCCACTGCCTGGCCCTCACCTGGCCTTCTCCCTTCCAGCTGATCTGCACAACGCCACCAATCTGCGGTCGCGGTCCCTGTCTGGCACGGGACGGTCGCTGGTGGGGTCCTGGCTGAAGCTGAACAGAACGGACGGGAACTTCCTTCTCTATGCACACTTGACCTACGTCACGTTGCCTCTGCATCGGATTTTAACAGGTAGCGCGCTGGTGTGAGGACACTCTGCCGCCTCCTTGGTGCCCAGGCCCCGAGGGCTGTCATGCGGCTCTGTCACTCCGCCCTGCTCTTCCACGCCAGGGGCCAGTTTGACTGCGTGTGGTTCCCGGGCTCCCCATCTCAGACTCCAGGTGGGGCCGTGGGGAAGCCGTGGCCCCTGAGGGTCTCCGTCGGCTCACCCCGCGGCCCCTGCTCCCTCTTGAGCAGCAGGAGACCCTCGGACGGGGACGGCCCTGTGCAGGTCGGCCTCTCAGGTCTGCGCGCGGTGCCGGCGCCTGACGGGCCTGTGGTCAAGCCCCACGTGCCCATCTGCTTAGCCTCGGCCGGCTGTGAGGTGTTCCGAGCCCGTTTGCCCATCTGTCAGATGGGGTGGTGGGAGCACCTGCCCTCCTTAGGGCTCAACGAGGAGATGCCTGGGAATTACTGAGTGTGAGCGTCAGCGGGCTCAGGGCCTCCTTCGGCGGTGGCGGCTCTGGTTCTCCCACTCAGCGGGTTGACCTGCTTTCTCCATCTCTTGCCCCCACCTGGCTAGACATCCTGGAAGTGCGGCAGAAGCCCATCCTGATGACCTAGCAGTGTGCAGAGACCGAGCGGTGCCCACTGGCCCTGCCTGGCCCTGGGAGTGCTGCCAAGTGCCTACCTGTGCCACCACCCCCGGGGGCTTCTGTGACAGCCCAGCTGTGGAGCCAGGCCAGGGCCGACTCCTCGAACACCAGCCCAAACTGAAGTGCCTCTTTCTCCTCCCCGCTGGCTCTGCTCCTGCCCTGTGCCCACCGCCCATCACCCCCCAGCCCGTCTCTGGAGAGCCCTCTGCGCCCAACGGGGACCAGAGTCACCGAGAGGCTGTAAGAGAGTGTGAGGCGAAATAGCCCAGGTCCGGATCGTGTCCAGACGTACAAATCCCGTGGCCTCGTCCCGACGGACGGCAGCAGAGTCCCCGGCTGGAGCACGCCAAGCACGGGGACCCCCACTTCCTCAGCCTGCTAAGGTGTGACACTGTGCTGGCGAGTGCCAGCTGCCCACCCGGTCCGCCTGGCCTCCCCGCTTCCCCACGCGCAGGCTGGGGACAGCGTGGGCAGGGGCACGCAGGTGGACGGCTTTGCCCGGGGCTGGGAATACCTCACTGCGCCCAGTTCCAGAAAGGCCCTGATCCCCGCCAGAATGGCCTTTTGCTTCCAGCCAAAGAACACCGCCAACACACACACCTCCAGCTGGGAGACCTCCCGTGGGGGCCTCGCTGGAGGGGCCGCAGAACCTGAGGGCGGGTGGGAGGGCCTGGCAGCCAGGCAGGAGGAGAGGGACCTCTGCCCAAGGAAGGCTCTGCGGGGACCCGTCCTCTGGGGTTGCAGCAGGGCTGGCACGTCGTTCCACCTTCCCGGGTCTCCTGGACCGCGCGCCCGCCTGGACCAGCCCTGAGGCTGACGGGGACCCCACACGGCCTGCTCCACCACAAGGCATTTCCATCTGTGATGACACATTGTGCTTTTCTCAAACCATGAGCCTTTTCAAGTCAGGGCCCCAGGATTAATCTGGGAGACGGGTCTCCCTGTGGCTGTGTGTGGCTTGGAGTCTGACTCGGCACTGGGGTGTCCGGACGGCTGCTTTGAAGGAGAAGGAAGGGGGTGAACAGGTCCATCCATGCGCTCGGGGGTGGGCGGCCTGGGGCTTTCTCTGGATTTTGTACGCTGGAATTAAAGCGAGCTCTTGCATTTTCTCATGCCTGTTTGCCCACATGTAACCTGGGGCCGATAACCACCTACCTCATTGACTGTCGCTGTCTGCGGAGCTCTGGTCAGGGGATCTCACCGTCAGGGTGCCCGCCCCCCGCCTTTATTAACCTTATCCAAGAAGACAGGTGGGGGCCTCAGCCCCCACGGTCCCAGATGCCAAAGCAGTGTCTCGTGGCTGCCCGAGGCAGGCCACGCCCACGTTGGCGCCAGATGCCCAGGGGCGTCCCCGGATGGCCTGTCCCCAGGTTTGTGTCCAGGTGGAGGTACAGCAGTTTCTTCAGGGACTTCTCCTCCCAGTCATCCTGGGGTCTGAAGACTCTCGGGCTCAGTCTGCGGAGGACACGGTGGCAGGATGAGGACGCCGAGTTGTGCAGAAAAGCCACGGCCTCCTGCTGCCCTCAGATGAGGAGGCAGAGGGCGCCCGGGCCTAGAGCGGACAGACGTGGCCAGCCCAGGCTGGCTTGGTGGGGCAGGTCCTCATCTGTAAGACGGCCCACGTCCTTTCTCCTCGCGTAACCGTGAGGCTCAGTGCTTTGCCGGTCAGATCAGTTTAGAGCCAGACCTGCCTTTTCAGAGGTTGTGGAATCTACTGTCAGTTCATAGCACCTACCATGTGCAGGCCATGCTCCAAACCCTTAGGAACCGTTAGTCCTCTTTACAGATGAGGGACAGCAGCTGAGGTGACGTAACTCCCTAAGGTTGAACAAGAAGTCATGACAGCTGGGCGTCAGGCAGCCTTCCGGCCACGGCCTGCACTGTGAACCACCACCCAGGCGCACAGACGGGTGTTTGGTGGAGCCACCCCTTCTAAGGCCTTGCCCAGAGCAATTTGACACTTGATTGTAGGCACACCAGACAGGCAGCAGGCAACTCCGAGGCTTCGTTTCTCAAAACAACATGTGACATCAGTCACAGAAGTAACGAAGCAGCAAACGTCAGGGCCCCGAACGCCCTGGTGTTGACGGGCTCAAGCTGCTTTAATTTCCCTGGGCACATGCCCCTCCGTGTGGTGAAAGGACGAGCAAAGCCCACGTGCAAGTTTTCCTTTGCGGAAACCTGGGTGGCACGTTTCAGGACATGAGTTAGGAACGGTTACCTCACGGTCCAGGCTCTGCTAGGTGACGCACAGTTCCTGCTGGCACCGTTCCGTCTGCACACCTGACCACGCCGGTGGCGTTTCCTCTCGCATCCCGGTGTCCCACTGGGACTTCAGGGGCAGGTCTGAGTCATTGCCCACAACACAACAAAGGTTCATTATTTGTTATTTCAAAAGACCGTCACCGAAAACACAAGTAACGGAGGTAGTCAGACGAGAACAAGCAGCGGAATCGTCAGTAGCCTGTCAGCCTGCAGACGGCGGGGGGAGCGGGTAATGGCGTGTTGGCCGTCGGCTCCACGGAGTGATGGCAGGAGGACAGTGTGTGCCGGGTGGGACCTGAAGACTTAGCCGGCATCCAACCGGGACGTATTTATGCTGTTTTTATCACACACAGACTAGTCAGCAGGAGACTGCAGGACGAGTGAACAGCCTTCTCCCCGTTAGACGGTGTCCCAGAAGGGAGCTGCGTAGGTAGTTGGAGGCTTAAATCATTGGCCAGAAGGCTCTTCAGGCTCCTCCGCCCGGAGTCTGTCTGCTGACTTTCCCATCAGAGAGACGGAGTGGGTTGCCCTTGGGTATGTGTTCTCTTCAGTTTTCCAGCCGAGCCGCAATTTTATTTCAGATCCATTTTCTGCCATTCTTTGTACCTGAAAGTGGGATTACTTTTCTTAAAAATACCGGCCCTGGTGGAAAACTATGGCCGGTATCTGTACCCGGAGCTGGAGCCGAGGCCGCCTGTCGCTGGCGGGGCCAGCCCTTCCCCTCTGGGAGCACCCTTCCTGAGGCCAGGTGGCGAGGTTGCGTCCCACGCGGACCTCCAGGGGTTAAGAGGTGGGGACGCGTGGCAGTCACTGGTGCTGACATGTCAGTGGACACAGGAGCCCTCTAGGGACAGCCAGCCATTTGAGAGCCCTGCAGACCCCCAGACTGAAACAAAGGTCCCAGAGGTGGGGGAGGCCGTGCTGCACCCATGGTGCCCGGGAGCTTCACGGGTGGCGTCACGGCAGCTGCTGTCCCTCAGTGTGGGACTCATGATGTCACACGCCCCTTCCCCATGGGCCCCCTCCCATGCAGAACCTTACACAGACCCCTTAGCAGTGTTTATTACCAATTTTCATCATGAAATATTATGTGATATAGTTGTAAATTACTTAAATGTACTATTTCTTAGAGCATATGAATACTAACAACAAAATTGTTTTGTAAAGTCTTTCCACATTGAACTACAACATTATTAGCGGCAGCCTTTTTTAAAACTTCTTATCTTTTCATTACTCCTTCATTCTCAAGTTACTGATACAGGTTCACAGATACTAATTACCACAGTAGTGTAGCTGAAACACCAGCCGATTTGACAAAATTAACGACGGTAAAAACACCGGCAGCAACAGAAACCACAGCGCGTGCTTGTAGCGCGTGCAGACGAAAGCACGTGATTTGGAGGGTCCTTGTCATTGGGTAACAATGACAGCTCTGACCCGAGCGCATCAGCAGGTTCGGCGAGTGAACGAGCAGGGCGTTAGCCGCATGGGCAGCTGGGCTCACATAACATGTTGTTCCAGCCGTGGGGGTCTTTGTATAAAACAGTCAATTTCTGCTGAAACACTTCACACATCTTCCAGATGGTCATTGTGGTACCCACCCCCGGCAGTGCCACTCACGCCCTGCCCCTTCCCCAGGGCTGCCACTGGTGGTCATGGTTTCCTGTTCTTCCCGAGTCGAGCAGACACTGTATCGTTCCCGTTCAAGTCCTCACCTTGAGCAGATCGACCGGAATCTGGTCCTCTGACTCTGCCGACGGCCCGAGGCCCGCGAGTCTCTGGTTCTCCACTTTGTCCAGGATCGGAGTGGTTTCGTTGTAAGTAGTTAACGGTTGATGGTTTTCAAAGGAATTCCGTGTATGAGAATCACTAAACCGCAGGGAAAGCCTACAAGCCTACTGGGATGTTTCCTACTTGGAGGCTTCTTTAGGGACTTTTACAAAATACATTTTCACCACGACACCATGATGGCGTACACAGAATGTACTAATGTGCTAGTTGTCAGTGGTATTACCATAAATATCTACAATGGCTGTTAGCTTTGCTTTCTGATTCCATGTTTCTTTTCAGAATTGATTTGCATGTTAGATATTAAATTTTCTTTCCTTGTTTTCCTTCAATCGATCTGTACTGGTCATTTTTTTCCAGACAGGCATTTCAGATTAAATACTCCACACACGACAGAGCAAGGCGAGGCTAACTCACTGATTGAATCTTCCCTCGCCCCAAAGATTAAACTTTTTTTGGGCACTTTGACTTGAGTGGCTTCTGCAGCAGACTGTGTTGGAGACCATCCGAGACCACCCTGTGCTCCGTGGCTGGCAACAGTCGTTAGATGCTGTCAAGTCAGCCCTGACTCGCAGCGGCCCCAGGGGCAACACAACAAAACCCACTAGGTCCTGTGCCAGCCTCAGTCACTGAGCCCGTCGTTGAGCCAGTCAGTCCATCTTGTTGAAGGCCTTCCTCTTTCTCGCTGACCCTCCAGTTTACCCAGCAGCAGTTGCCGGCCCAAGAAGAGTCGGCAAAGGTGTTGGCAGGCCCCGCTCTTGAGTGGCATGAAGCGCAGCTTGGTCACAAACGTGTTGGCAAAACTAAGTCACGGATGGGTTTTGGGTTTAGCGCTCAGACCCATAAAGTAGCACAGACCTTTCTGTCGTCCCGTGAAATCCCAAGCTCTTTCCAGAGTACATCTTAGAATGCTCT